TATTCTATTCACATATCGAACAGCCATTGTTCCTGATGCACTTGTTGCACACATACCACCAAGAGATGCATTTGCACCAGGATCTATTGGAAATTGAAGACCAGTATCACGAATATATGTATTCAATGCATTTCGAGTGACACCAGCTTGAACTGTACAATCAAAATCTTCAGCATTTACTGACAATACTTTATCCATACGACTCAAATCAAGACATACACCACCCTAAGAAATCGATATAATTTTCTTTTCTATTCTAAAAGAAAATATTTGTTTTTTTTACGAACTTTCGGAGCAGTAACACCACCTACATACGAAAATATGCAAGTCAAGATAAACTAGAATTGAATCTTTTTTTACCTTCTAATCCAGTACCAGTACCAAATGGTATAACAGGAACACGTTTAGATGCACAATATTTAACAATTTTTGAAACATGATCTGTACTTTGTGCAAAAACAACAACATCAGGTACATGACCTCTATAAATATAATGATTAGATGACAAATATCGTAGAAATAATATAACATACGCATGATATGATTCATCATGACTATGTTGTTCTCGAACACTTGCAGTAGTTGCGACATTATCATTTCCCACAATATTTTTTAAATCAGTGGCTAAAGCTTGTGATGATGCATATCGTTGAGTAAACTAGGAAATATAAAATTCGTTTAAAAAGCTTATAATAATTATGATATTATTCGTACTTTGCGTAGAATATTAGAAATCGGTATGCTACGACTTTTAATCATGTTCATCTCTATAATGATCTGAAGTAAGATAAAATCAATATGGCTGGAATAGGTACAGTAAGTGAATAGAAAAAACGTTACTTAATTACAGAAAAATTTTAAAAATTAATGTATTGAGAGAATTATACAATAAATAAAAAAAACAACGACAAGTCTTTGTAGTGCACTGATTTGTTTGTGCTACAAATTAGAAACCTTTTTCTATATCTATAATCTTGCCAGGGTTAAGAATATTTAATGGATCAAGTGCTTTTTTGATGATTTTCATAGTATTAATTCCATGTAATCCAAATTCATCGATAAGTAATTGTTTTTTTCCTACACCAATACCATGCTCACCAGTGATAGTACCATTCATACGTAATGCTTCTCTAGAAGCAAATAGAAATAACAAATATTAATTCGATAATTTTATACTTGGCTAAAATAGTAGCAAAGTCATGAACGCGTTTAATTTCTTCGAAATCATTTGGATCGACAATTAAAATTACATGAAAATTTCCATCACCAACATGACCTATAGTCAATCTGTGGAAATTTAATGATAAAATATATGAAAATATATCACTGATCTTTACATACCCTAATAATTGTAATCGTTTTACTTCGTTGTCTGCAAACTGAATCATATCAGGCAAAGCACTAATCGGAACACAAACATCCGTACTATAACCCTAAAAAAAAAATAGAACATTTGATTGAGATTCGGATTAAATTGCTGATAAAATATGAACTAATCATTTAAAGGTTCAGCATTTATACAGTAAGCAATCGATCAATAAGTTTATTATCATTCATATGTGCTTCTGAGGCAGCGAACAAAATTCAATAATTTTCCTCGATATATGGGCCATTCCAGATAAAACCGAACATACCCATCTTTCATTTAAATTTGATTCTTTGCAAAAATTATTTTTCGGACTAAGTTTTTTTAGCATAGACAGTTGACTCTTTCAACTGACTATTAGTTAAAAAGTAATGAGCGAATATCTCTCGAGCTATACGAGAAAAAAAAAATTCCAAAATTTCAGAATAGACTCTACGGAACGAATCACATCTATGCTAAAACTTTCAGCAAGATTTACCTCCAAAAAAACATTCTTGTAAAAGCCGATTTTCTAGAGATCCTATAAAGTTCTGAAACGAAGATTTTCATCTTATTATCATCTAGAGATTCTGAAGAAGGATTTGTACCGTTTGGAACTAGTTTTGAATTTTTCATTCAATTATCAGAGCATTTTTTGTACTTCGTTACGTTGCTAACAAAAAATACATCAATGTTTTTAACAAATCTACCGATACTTAGAAACAACCTTTAGTTAGAATGTCATAGCCTTAGAGGTTGTCTACAGAATGTACTATTTAGTTTTGCCTGAATTCGAATTTTTTCTTAAACAAAAAACTGAATGAATCGATTTAATGAACTTTACACTAGATCTCTTAATTTATGTATCATCATTTGTAAAAAAAATCAAAGCATTGATTATTTATTCATTGTCTATTATAAGCACTTGATTTTGGTCATCTTATAAAATTCTCATACTAACTTTTGAACCTGGTCTGAGAGCATGTGCAGCGTACCATACATTGTGTCTTGCTTTCCATAATTCATTTCGTCTATCCGTCTCAGTTGCAAAAGTAAATTTAAGACATTCAAATGATTTACATGTTTCTTCTATAAAACAATATGCATATATCTGACAAAATAAATTATCATGAAAATAAATTCTAGATATAGAGTATAAGAACTTTAAAAAAATTCTATTTATTAAAAACTTAACTAATAAAAGATGAAATACCGGATGCACTGCAATAAATATCTCTCTGAGTATTTTCTCAATGTTGTCGTCAAGGTTCATCATCATGTCTTAATCTTTTTTTAAAAGCATTCACAATTCAATTTTCTACAAGAATGTATCATAAGTTTTGCTACAAAATGTTGAGTAGGAAAATATTAGGTAAATAATACTGCGATGTTCTTACATGCCCAATTTTTAAACGGGGTTTTCTTTCGAAAAAATTCAGCATTTTTTTTTCAAGGGTTCTACACATATAACAGTATGATAGAGTATGTTTAGGAGAATGACTCGTGTGTGTTCTTTCTCATGATGTACACTGAAATTTGTTTCAAGCAAGTTCTTTTTTTTTACGCAAACATAAAATTAAGCCAAAAACACGAAAACCATTGGTTATTTTGCACAATGTCTCCAAATTAAGACTCTTATTCAAATTCTGGCATTTCAATCTGATACCATTTCTCTTGAAATAAAGTTGTGTTATATTAAGTCATTTTTTTTTGGTCGATCAATGCAAATTTTCCTGAGAGCACTAAAATTACTGATGCAAAAATTATTATTTTCATAAAGCTTGAAAGAAGAAATCATTAATTTACATGACAGGTATTAATAGAAAACTTTTACTATTCTAATTACAAGATAGAGCTTTTCAAGCGCTACAAGATTGCTATCTGTTTTTTCATTAGTTTAAAACAGTTGACCATACTTGAGTCTCGTAGAATCATTTATCGAAGTCTTTTACTTCACATTTTGTATCAAAACTGATGATACGTTCTTGAAGTGAATTGAATCATGAATCTTTTCTGGTACATCCCTTCGATCAATCAAAAGCAACATTTATTGTCTCATACCTGCTATTCGTCCTTGAGCTTCAATATTACTATTACTACCATGAAATTCAAGAAATAATGTTGGTGCTACATCAAGATTCAGTTTTGAAAAACGATTACAAGCATCAACCATGTTCTCATCAAGAAATTCTATTCGTGCAACAGGTAAACCACTTTGCATAATAGCAACTGTGGCATTTACGGCAGCTCGTAAATCTTTGAATGGAGCAACAGCAGCAAGAACCTAGGATTATTGAATAGAAAATATTTGTTTTAGATTATTTAAAAATTGAAAATATACTGCTTCAGGTATTGCATGTAATTTAAGTGTTGCTTCAGTAATAATACCCAATGTACCTTCTTGACCAACAAATAAATTAGTTAAATTATAACCTGATGATGTTTTTCGACTTCGTCCTTTGAGTCCTGCTGTTTTGATAATACTACCATCGGCTAAAACAACTTCTAAATTCATAACATTTTCACGCATTGTACCCTAATACATCGAAAAAAGAAAAAGAATCAATCTTTCAAATATTTTATTCTATTCACATATCGAACAGCCATTGTTCCTGATGCACTTGTTGCACACATACCACCAAGAGATGCATTTGCACCAGGATCTATTGGAAATTGAAGACCAGTATCACGAATATATGTATTCAATGCATTTCGAGTGACACCAGCTTGAACTGTACAATCAAAATCTTCAGCATTTACTGACAATACTTTATCCATACGACTCAAATCAAGACATACACCACCCTAAGAAATCGATATAATTTTCTTTTCTATTCTAAAAGAAAATATTTGTTTTTTTTACGAACTTTCGGAGCAGTAACACCACCTACATACGAAAATATGCAAGTCAAGATAAACTAGAATTGAATCTTTTTTTACCTTCTAATCCAGTACCAGTACCAAATGGTATAACAGGAACACGTTTAGATGCACAATATTTAACAATTTTTGAAACATGATCTGTACTTTGTGCAAAAACAACAACATCAGGTACATGACCTCTATAAATATAATGATTAGATGACAAATATCGTAGAAATAATATAACATACGCATGATATGATTCATCATGACTATGTTGTTCTCGAACACTTGCAGTAGTTGCGACATTATCATTTCCCACAATATTTTTTAAATCAGTGGCTAAAGCTTGTGATGATGCATATCGTTGAGTAAACTAGGAAATATAAAATTCGTTTAAAAAGCTTATAATAATTATGATATTATTCGTACTTTGCGTAGAATATTAGAAATCGGTATGCTACGACTTTTAATCATGTTCATCTCTATAATGATCTGAAGTAAGATAAAATCAATATGGCTGGAATAGGTACAGTAAGTGAATAGAAAAAACGTTACTTAATTACAGAAAAATTTTAAAAATTAATGTATTGAGAGAATTATACAATAAATAAAAAAAACAACGACAAGTCTTTGTAGTGCACTGATTTGTTTGTGCTACAAATTAGAAACCTTTTTCTATATCTATAATCTTGCCAGGGTTAAGAATATTTAATGGATCAAGTGCTTTTTT